CTAGTTTCCCGGGTCAGGAAACACCTGGATTCTGTGGAGGGAGGGATTGATTCATTTCCCTAATAGGACTATCCAAAGTAGTTCCCTGCATTAAAAAACATTCTGCTATTATTTATCGAAAAGCCTTGAGGTGTCTAGTGACTAGCGACTGAAAATTTGATATAGAAAATAAGAATCTAGTGCGATAATTAGTTCTTTTTTTGGATGCAAATCAAGCGTTTAAAAATTCCTCGCAGATTTTTAAATAGATCATAGTATATTTGATTTATTATATTTGACAATTAAACGCATCATTTTTTTCTTTAATATTTTCTTTTTTTATTACAGCGTTATCCGGTAAAGTTCATCTCTAACGTTCAACGTTCAAGCGTACTATTTTATCAGCCGTTTCTCCTAGCGCGTAAAGGTAAGTGTATGCATATCTATTTGTGATGGAGATTCAATATAAAATATGTATAAGACTTGTTAAATAACTGAAATAAATACTAAAATAGATTATAATAATAAAACTTATTCATTTATATTATATTTAGAATGAAATCCACAATGTAAATATCTGAGTGTAATGTAGAACGCATGTGAGATTTAAGTGGGATCACTTGCAGTTTCTGGTCAATAAAGCCGACTAACTCATGAGCCCTTTATGTCTCTTGGCTTAGTTGTACAAGGCTGATCCAGGTACTTCCTAACAGCTGTCAAAAATAACAATTTTGAAGTGAAGAAAGAATCTAAGAGAAAAGGAAACAGAAGAATAGATAAGGAGGAAAAGACAGAAGTATTGAACAATTGCACAATGTGTCGAAAACACAACAAGGATATTCCACAATGTATAACACGTATCGACTTTTGGTGCGACTATAACTGGAGTACTGGAGTTACAATCTGTGGATTCACCGCCCGGCAGTTATTTTTTGCGTCTGGCCTTGCTATATTCAAAATTTTATTTTTTGGCAGTTAAAGGATTTACTAATAGAAGCTGTCTAGTGATGGCATGGATCCATGTTAGAATGAGTTGGTCGCCGTCAACAATTGATTTTCGGCGTGATTTCTTATCGCGAAGTTTCGGGTTTATGTGGATCGAGTATCGCGGATCGTGAATGGATTTTTTATGGGAGCACAAGCTGTACAGACAGAAGAAGTGGCCTAATAACTGCAAAGGTAAGCTTATTATGATTACGATTTTATGAGACTATATTTTTAATTAACTTTGTTTAGAGATTCATATATTTATGACTTCAAATGCGTCAAGAATAGGTAATTAAAAGTTCCTCCTTGTAATAAATTATGTTTGTAGTTAGAGTATCTGTAAATTTTCCTCAAAACTTAAACGCTTCTTCTTTTTAACTTAAAAGCGATGCTAGATAATCACTCTCAACATTTAATCAGTTCTGGCTTAATTAAGATAAGAATCCACCCTATTTTTTAGTTAGCTTTGGCGAGTTATAAAAGAAATACCAGGCCATATTTCATTCTAAGTTCTTACTGTCTATCGAAAATAGCCTTCTCCTTCTTCTTCTTCTTCTTCGTCTAGCCATTCACGTCCACATCTGAACATAAGCCTCTTCAAGTCTTCCTTTCCATTGTTTTTTATTGTACGCTACTTGTAGCCAATTTTTCCCGGCAGTCCTTTTCAGATCATCTGTCCATCTCATAGGAGGTCTGCCTCTGGGTCTTTTGTGTTGGTATGGTCTCCAGGTTAAAATTGATCTGTGCCATTTGTTTAGATCGCTCCTAGCTACATGTCCAGCGTATTCCCATTTCAACTTTAATGATTTTTGCACCACATCGGTGACTTTGGTTTTCTGTCTTATCCATGTGTTTGTTTTCTTGTCCTTAAGTGATATACCTAGCATTGCTCTTTCCATCGCGTGTTGAGTGACTCTAAGTATATTCATATTCTTTTTTGTGATTGTCCATGTTTGTGCCGCATAAGTTAATATCGGAATAATGCATGCATCAAAAACTTTAGATCTAAGATGTAATTGAATTTGTTGATTTCTGAGTATATAGTTCAGTTTACCGAATGCTGCCCAAGCTAACTTTCTTCTTCTTTTTATTTCTTCAGTTTGAATTTCCCTATTTAGTATTATTTTTTGTCCTAAGTATATATATTCTTCAACTTTTTCTATAACTTTATCGTTTATTATTGTCACGGTGTCTTCGGAGTGCATGACTTTTGTTTTGTTTAAATTCATTTTCAGTCCTATTTTAGAAGATTCAGTATGTAGTTCTAAAAGCATGGTTTGCATTTCTTGTAGGTCAGTAGCTATCAGGATTATGTCATCTGCAAATCGTAGATTACTGAGGTAGCGACCATTGATGTTTATTCCCTTATATTTCCAATTTAGGTTTTTAAAAACGTCCTCCAAAACTAAGGTGAACAGTTTGGGTGATAAAGTATCTCCCTGTTTGACTCCCCTGTTTAATGGTACAAGGTTCGTGTGTTCATTTTCATTTAGGTAGTATGTAGCTGTAGCTTGGTTCATAGTTTCTTTTATTAAGTTAATATATCTGCTGTCTATTCTACAATTTTGCATTGCGTTTATTACGGCCGTGTGTTCTATGGTATCGAAAGCTTTTTCGTAGTCTACAAATGCTAGGAAAACTGGAAACTTGTATTCGTTACATTTTTCTATTTATATTTTTGTGGTTAACAGGTGATCGGAAGTTGAATAGCCTTTTCTAAAACCTGCCTGTTCATATGGTTGGTATTCGTCTAATTTCCTTGTTAGTCGAGTAGTTATGACTTTGGTGAGTATTTTAAACAGGTGTGACAGTAGGCTGATGGGTCTGTAGTTTTCCAATTTTCGACTATCACCTTTCTTGTGTAATAAGATTACTTTAGAGTTGTTCCAGCTCTTAGGGACTTTGCCATGATGTAAACAACTGTCCACAAGCTTAGTTACAATTGCAATTAGTTCCTTACCTCCTTCTAATATCATATCTGTGGTAATACTATCTTCTCCTGCAGCTTTATTTCTCTTCATGTTTTCCATTGCTGTAGTTACCTCTGAAATTGTTACTTTTGGCATTATTTCTGATCCAACATTTTTTATTAATTTCCGTGCTGGTCTCATCTCATCATCTTGTTGATCTGTTCTGTAAAGATCTGTGTAAAATTCTTCTATTCGTGTCAGTATGTTTTCTCTAGTTGTGATTTAATTTTCGTCTTTTCCCATTAATGATATCATCTGACGTCGTCGTAGTGTCGGTCTGAGGCATTTGATACTCTTATTTTTTTCAATAGTGGTTGTTATTAATTTTTCGTTTTCTTTTCTTTTTTGTTGTCTGATTCCTTTTCTAATCTGCCTATTAAGTTCTCTATATTCGTCGGTTCCCCTTTTGTTAGATTTATTTAAGATCTTCCTTATTTTTATTTGTTGTAATATTTCTTTGATGTTTATATTCATAGCCAATATCTCGTGATGTTTAGTTGAGATGAAACCTAAATGAATTTACGTGGGTTTTGTGGGTTTCACAGACCTTGCCTTTTGGTCAATGTCGAGGCCAACTGCCTCTTCCTATATTTTTGCCGAAGAAGGCAAATATACCGTTTTTTCTATATCTATAGGGCCATCTGTTTTTGGGACTGGGAAGTCAATAACCGATTCCTCTCTCTGGTTTTAGCATGTTCCCTTCAGAGGCATTGGACTTTTAATGCGAGTTTTTATGTCTATTGACCATTTATGTTAGTTATTTTTTTATTTCAAGAGACGTAATCTGCTTTAATTACAAGATTATTGACAGCAAGATTTATTGTTATTTTTGAGTATTTAGTAAATACATGTTTGATAAAAGTGAGTAATTTGCTGTTTGTATTTTGAGAACGATTTCCGAAGTGGAAATTGAAACGTCAATAAACGTATTTTTATCTTTAATTGTGGCTTATTCCCAGTTAAATAGTAATTAATTTACAATGCCCCAAGAAAATAGCTTCATAACATTTATTTTGATAATGACTTGCTGTTCCCTCGAGAGACGTAGGTACAGTTATTAACAACGTCTAAAACGCTTCTTTTAACCTCTGGCTGTAGACTGGTGTTCTTTTTTGGCTCCTTCCCTCCTTTTGTATTGACGTGGCATATCTATAAAATAGAAAACACTTATCTTTAAGGAGTTTCTGGAAGACTTGAACCCGGGATCATATCTCGCAGATAAGAGGAAATCAAGTCTCCCCAAGAGGCCATTTTAATATTTTAGTCTATAAAAATATGACAACAAACTAGAACTCATTGCAAACTGTGCAAAACGTAAACTATATGAATATGGTGTTAAATAAAAATTATACGAAAAACTTACCTAAACGAATAGTAAAGGAAATCAACTTAATTTAATTCTGAAAACATTTCTCGGTAGGACAAAACAATTGTAGTGAACACGTGTCCATCGTTGTGTATTGTAGCTACGTTATATTGTCGGTTTTATAATTTTAGACTGCTTATTTACTGAAATTTTAAAGAATGATCAAGTCTCACATATGGTCAAGTCTCCCTCTTCTTCTCCTAGTCTTCCTATCGATGTTAATGACCCCAATATATTTCTTACATGGAAGTAATGACTATCCAGTATTAAAACAACTCGCTCAGATCCATTGGGATTAAAGTGTTCCATAAAATATTTTAATAGGCTGTAAAAATTTAGGGTTAAATCCATTCTAATGCGTCGCATCTAGAAATGACGCCAGGGGAACTCCAGTAAGAAGTTAAGGCTATATGTTATTTCATGACAAGACTAATATGGGTGGTAACAAATAAGGATAGAGTTCATACAGGTCACCACCGTTATCAGAGCTTTACGATGCAACAACGTGCTTTTTATTACTCTTGTTATGTTGAACTGACATGACTCCAGTTTTATTTATATTGTAGATCGTTAATAGATTATGATTAATTTTAGACAACACGCTTTTAAGTAATTTGAAAAAGTTCTGAATATTTTCTTTAATAAAACCCTTTACCCTTCTACAATATAGTTTTCTAGGTTTACAAATTTTAACATACCTGCATCTTTTTGGCTTCTAGTACTGCAATCTTATAGTTTATATCAGTTTTTACAGTTCCCAAATCAAAGAAATCCTTTTCTCTTATAAAAGTTAATTCCTCGTTTACTTCTGTGCCAGTTTCGTCCTTACACTGGCTAAAATGTTAGAATACATAGAACAAGAAAAAGACTAATAATTATTTTTGTGCTTACCTGTCTTCCTTTAGTTCTGCAATAGGTATCTGCCAACAATTTGGTATTAACACACTATTTTGTAAAGGAGGTGAAGGTAAAATGGACATTTCGTTCGATCTTTCAATGTTATTGTCTTCAAAGGTTGTCCGTATGCAGGCAATGTGATTACAACAAGTCAGCAAAATATTTGATCTTTCCCATTTGTTTGTATGGATACTAAAAAAGAAAAATATATTTGCTGTGTATTATTTCCATATTAAACAAATCACTGCTTAATGTAAACTACACTCTATATTACCCTCGAATTTCTTCATCTAAGCTTGGCCTCTCCTCTACTTCTGAAATACCGAAATATTTTTTATGCAAATTGATGTTATTTTTACATCGCAGATACTTCGAGCTACGTTTGGCACCTGGGTAAATATTTCTTCTGCCAAATTCTATACGTTTTCCTAGTATATTAAAAGCTGGAAATTCAATATTTATTGTTTGGAGGCATTTATTTTCATTTATTTCCCATAGTTTTAGTATCTACAACAAAATAGTCTTTTGTTTGGGCGATTTTTCATTGTTATAAAAAATAATAAATTATTGAGGTGGCATGCACCTTGTATTTATTTTCAATTTATTAATTATAAATTACAAAACCAGAGACTGCCATCTATTAATATTTTGCGATAAACCTTTAGGCATTCTTTACTAACAGCATAGTAGTGCTCTCACAAATAGTTTTTAGATTTTCTGAGAGATGGCGCAAGTAGAGGTTGGGAATAGCTGGTATCGTTGATTGAATAACCCAAATCTTATTGTTATTTATGACCCAAATCAACGCTGGTATTTGGATTATTCAATCAAGGCTGGTATATATACACATATTGTAATTATTGCAAGGTTAAAAAAGACAAAAAAAAATGTCAACACTAGCAAAACATAGCCATTACATTTAGTTTTTAGAGTTTAATTTTTAAGAATTTTAATAAATTGACACATTTTTACTCGACCAGAGTTAATATAAAAAGAAAGATCATGGATGCATGAATTCTCCAGCAAAATATTTTTGTAAAGCTTTTTTACATTATGCAATTTTAATGCTATGCAAGGCAGATGTAACTGCGCGTACTCACGTGACATTTTCTAGTACTACTTATTCTGTGTTAAACGAAAAATTAAGAATGTGTCATATTTTTGATGCCTTTTTGTTGTAATTTCACTTCAGAAAATTTTTAAACCTACGTGAAAACATTTTATTCCAGATGTAAAACAACGTTGCACACAGATGTACTACATCTACTCACCACCACTACATAATAAATTACTTACTCCATCTTCAGAGAAAGACAAAATTGTTTTCTGGTTGTCCATTATAGCTACGTCTATAATTTTTTGTTGGTGTCCAGTAAAAACTGCGATTGTGTTGGAAGCTAATACCGAATTCCATACTCTTATTGTTTTATCATCGCTTCCAGTCACCAAAATATTTAGAGTTGTACTAAATGAGAAACAGTTACATCCCTACAACAAAAGATTGGTGGTAACTTCTATTTTAGCTAGTATATTTAAACAGTAAATTCTATAGAGGTAGAGAGGTAGATAGAGGATTCTGTAGCTGTTTCGTTTCTATCAAACCAGCATATTCATGTTTTATAGATCTGACAAAGGCTTCTGATCAATAAAAACCATCGAAAACATCTACTTCCATAATCGATTACAGGCAAAGATAAATGGAAAGCTAACACAGTGTACACCAGTACAACGAGGAGTCAGACAGGGTGACTCGTTAAGTCCACTTCTCTTTAATATAATGATGGACGAAATAATACAAGCAGTACGTAAAGGTCATGGTTGCAGAATGGGAAACAAAGAAATCCAAATATTATGTTATGCAGATGACGCCGCATTAATAGCCTTAATGGCAAAGATAAGACCTGATACATCTAAAATGAGACGATCGCTAAAAACAGGGATGAAAATACTAAGACGAATATCAGAAAAAACTCTGTTGGATAAGGGGAGAGGTGAAAACATAAGATGAATATGCAATATAAAAGACATAAATGGACAAAATGGAAGCAGGAGTGGAACGAACATATTAGTAGAATTGCAGAGGATAGAATAGTACGAATAGCACGAGATAAGTCACCAAGTGGACGAAGAAGTATTAGCATACCAAGAAAAAGATGTTGCCATAATTTAGAAGGCTCGTATTGTCGAAGAAATAAGCTTTAAAGCCTACATACAAAAAGGAAGAAGAAGAAGAGGTTCCTACAAAAACATTGCCCATTTTGGAGCTATCTTTATGACCTTATTAGGTTCTAAAAGCATCTATTTCAATTATTCATAGCATAAGCGAACAGTTACCTTTCAGTTTAATAGGATTTTCAGACATTTGATGCCTAAATACTTTTACAATGTAACCAAAGTGCAGTATTACCTGTTATGGAGACGATACCCTTCGTTTCAAGTGTTATAAATATATCATCAGACAATCACTCTGTCGCTCTGCCAAACTTGTAGAATACATTTTTTTTTTCAATAATATTTTACACTATTTTTAAAAATTATTTTAGTCAACTAAAATACCTTTCTCATTTTTAAAATATAAGGTTGCTTATTCAGCGCCATATACTTCTTCATCAACGATGTATTCGGATCTTTACTGCAACTGATAACGGCATTCTCTATGCTACAATACTCCATTTGTTCGACGTTACTGTTGTGGACTCCTTGTAGAACTGTATTTTTAGGTACAGTTTTTCATATTTAAGTTCCTATAAAAGTAAATCATTTAAGGGATCACAGATATATCGCAATATCAGATTATTTAATTTTATTTCTCTCATCAAAAGGCCAAATTGTCTCAATAAAAGAGATGACGAACGATTACCTTCGACTTGAAGACTTTTCATTAAGAAAATATCGTCCGCTCTACCCATCAATCAAAATCATACTGTCAGAAATGTTCGTACCAACCACTGCGTCAATCCCTGCGCCAATCCCCACGCCAAACTCCACCCAAACCGCATCATCATCGACGGTATTAATGAACCGTCCTCTGTTCCGAATACCAGTAATGCATTGGTTAGTCATCAGTGTAGTACTGTCTGGGGACTCGAAAGACTGAGACCTCGGAAGCCTTGAAGAAGATATTAAAAAGGATGTAGCAATATCAAAGAATTAACAAAAATATGGAGCAGAGTAACACTAAGTGTGGCTTCGAAAATTCCAAAAGGTACAACAAAGGCCTTATTTTTGCTTCAAAGTTTCTCCTTTAGTGCTTCCTCAAAGGATAGTTGAGGAAGCACTAAAATAAGCAATAATTGGAATAATTAAAGTCAAAAGAGAACCTATCAGTAATATCAGATATGCAAATGATACGTTAATGATCGAAGGGTCAATTGAAGAATTAGAGGGTGAATTATTATTGCAATGGCACAAGAAGATAGGTTATGGAGTAGTGCGAACTTCAAAGATGCACAGAAAGACATTCTTTGGAACAGTCGTAACCGAAAATAACGATTAGATGCAAGAAATTAAAATATCAAAAATAGGAAAGCCAGATTAATATTTAATAATATAAGAAAAGTAATTTAATTTGCAGCAATGATCTGAGCCTGGAACTTGGTCCACAAATACTGAGGTATTATGTGTTTTCAGTATTATTGTATGGAATAACGACATTGACACTAAAAATGGACAACAGCAACAAATTAAAAGCGTTTGAGATGAGAACTTGCAGGATAATCTTAAAAATTAACTAGTTATGAAAATAATTTGCAATCTATTACTTTAAACTTATAAAATGATGTACAAAGTATTAAATAATCCTATTTGTTTATTCTTTTCCTGTTTTTGTTTTTAGCAACTAGTGATTTAGAAAGCACGTCATAAATTGTATTATTCTAATTAACTTACATCCCAGTAGAACAATGTAATTCTGTCCATATGCTTTCTTCTTAACAATGAACTAGTCGGCTGAATAAATTTAAACACCACTACATCTCCACTGCTGGTACCAGCAAATAAGGCACATTTTGGTTTGGTGTCTGATTGAGTATGATAGAGGTTTTTATAGGATAAACACTAAAAAAATATGTTAAAAATATATTAATACTTATCTTTTGCTATTTTTTTAAAACTGGTTGTGGTGGTGTGGAGGACGGAGAAGTATCAGCCGAACCCGAAAAAGGTAGAGTGTCAATCTGAATATTGATGCAGGTGGATTGGGTTTAAAAAAACTACCACAGGCAAGAGCTAGGGAAAACAGAAGTACAGTTGAATTAGAGGACGATATTGAAACTGTAAAAAGTTTCACATATCTGGGAATTACATTAAACACGGATGGAACAGAAGAACCAGAAAATCAAAGAAGAATAGTAAAAGAAATCAAAGCTTACTTTTCACTCGCCATGTATTTCAGGGTCTTCTTCTTCACGTGGAATCTCCGCGAAGGAGGTTGGCAATCATCATGGCTATTCTGATCTTAGATGCTGCTGCTCTGAATAGTTTAATTGATGTGCATCCGTACCATTCACTCAAGTTATGCAACCATGAGATTCTTCTTCTTCCTACACTTTTCTTGCCCTGGATTTTCCCTTGTATAATCAATTGAAGTAGGTTATATCTCATTACGCACAACATGCCCAGGTATTGCAGCTTTCGTGTCTTGATGGCCTCCAATACTTCCATTCTTTTATTGCTTCTTCTCATGACTTCGTTGTTGTCACATGCTCGGTCCATGATATCTTCAGGATTCTTCTATACACCCACATTTCAAATGCTTCAAACTTTTTAGCTGTCGACGCGTTAAGTGTCCATGCTTCCATTCCATAAAGCAGAGTCGAGAAGATATAACACCTTGCCAGCCTAACTCTCAAGTCCAATTTTAGTTCTCTTGCACAAAGTACCTTCCAGGGTCTACAAGACTATTAATATCATAGATCTATAAGTTAGATATCCAGACATCCATAACATACCAATAGTGTTTGATGCGAGATATGGGTGATGACAGAATACACAAAACGAAAACTGGAAGTCTTCGAACGAAAAATCATAAGGAAGATATTTGGACTTATTAATTAAAACGGAGTATAGAAATCCAGGTACAATCATGAACTCTACCAAGTGTTCAAAGAAGATCTCAGAATTCGTTAAACTTCAAAGACCTCGATAGGCTTATCATTGTAGTCATCATGTAGACCGAAGGATTGCCAAAAAGAGCCCTAGAACAGATGATTCACGTAAAATAAAGAAGGAAGAAGAAGGTTTTATTGAACAACTTGAGAAAAAAGTAGGTAGAGCAAAACTTAAAATAGCCTTTCCTTCTTTTGGTCGATTAGTCACTTTCATACAAGGGCAATGTACACGAATACACCTGCTAAAGTAGAATGAGCAAAATAGCATAATAGGATTTCCTTCTAAAATCTACTAAGAATATTGAAGCAAAGCCTTGAAGCTGTTTTTGTAGCTATAGGTGGTAACACTCCATATTAGAAATTTAATCTGATGCCTGGGGATTTGTATTTTTTTGTATCGAAGTTAAAATAAAAAAATTCTTTCGGTATAAAAAACTTATTACTTTCATTTTTTGATTAATGAAGGTAAGTTGTGTGATAATTTTGTATAGGAGTTTATTTGCACCTTCACTTAATAAAACAAAAATGCATTTTTGACAACAGTAAATTTTTTGAATTTTTATCGGGAAACTGTGAATAAATGTACATGAATATATGGTGTAAAAAATATTAATTTATTGACCACAATATATAATAAAATTTAAGCAAAAAAAATTTTCTCACCTCAATTACATGATGTACCCCCATTATCAACCAATACGGCTCATGTTTGAGTCCGGAAGCTTCATATATAGCAACACTTCTGGTTGAATTCGCCACAAACAACATTTGTATGTCTTCACAAAAGATCGCGTCCGTTACCCATCGGTTTTTTCTTCTTCTTTCATCGTCGGTTCTCTCCAAATCTTCCCTGGTCATGATCACATAGTACGAAGTCAAAAAATTAAGATTGCCATCGTAAATTCCAATTCTGCCGTGCTTAGATATTATGGCGTAAGAGAAATATTTTTCTGTTTCGAGCAGTACTATTTTTGTTATAATTTCTCGCTAAAATATATTTAATAGTTTTCCTTTGGTAATTCTGCTATATAGAGTCAAAATTTTCAAACCTACATTGTTGTTCATATTGTTTTTATGATTGCACAAACAGAAACATCGTTTTGTGCCAATGATCAGCTGACATTCCAAAAGTCGGAAATTGGGCATTAAAAATTAAGTGCAGCTGGTTTCAAATGCAGTGGCAGAAAGTTCCACCCAATTTTTAATGTGTATATAATATCAACAGCCTTGTAGTAGCGTTGTATTATTATTAAATTTCAGAACAATATTTTTATTTGAAATCGGAAACTTTTGTAGACTTCTGGTTAAAAAAATCCGAACACTTGCATTTTATATGCTCATTTTAATTTTGTCAGTGTACAGTGGTTTAAATGGAAACGAAGTGAACATTAATAATAAAAAACGTTCATTCATAACAATAAAAATCGTTCTTTCAATGTTTTTTAAATGAACGCCTCACCATCGAAACCAATTTTTTACGTTTGTGAAAAAATGATAGTTTATCTTGTATACTAGCAACAGTTTTTTTTGCATTTTTTATTACATTTACGATAAGTTTCACATTTAGTATGATAAATTCACTGTTCGGTCGTATTTTCAAATCGCGTTAATATGACTTACGAAAATATTGCAAAAGTTGTCAAAAATCATTTGACTACTGCCAAAAAAAACTGCCCGTGATGCTCTTACGAATGATCAGAAACACTGTACTGTTCAGCAATGGAGTCTTGTAACGTTAGCTGATGAGTTACGTTTTTGCTTACAATCTCCAAACAAAAGCGAATGTGTGTGGACGTGGAGAATGCCCTTTGGTGACAGATATCTTATTATATGGGCGGGTATTTCATTCAACGGACTCACCGGATTAATTTTCATTGAACATGAAACTCTAACAGCAGACAGATACTTAGGATAGTATCTAGAGGACCCTGTTGTCCCCTAAGTCACTTTTGTTGGGGGTAACGTCTTTCTTATACAGGATAATGCGCGTCCATAAACTGCGCGAATCATTATGAACTACCTAAATACTGTCGGAATTTACGTTTTGGATTGGCCCGCTTATAGTCCTGACGAGAATCCATTTGAATATTTAGGGGACAGTTTAGGAAAAAAGTTAAACAGATTCAACCATTGCCAGAAACGATTCAAGAGCTGAAAAAAGCGTTGAATGAAGAATGGGAACATATAGGTACCTATATTGAAATTCTACCCAGATGTAAAGAGTAGCCCACTGTGTGCAATTAAAATCTTAATTTTTCTTTTGTTTAATTTTTCGAAAAATATTTTTTTTTTGCGTTGTTTATAACTTTATTTTGGGTTATTTATTTTTCCTACTATAACTTTTTGGTGTTTTAAATAAATTGAACACCTACAGAATCTAAAAGACATACAAAATGCAAGTGTAGATATTTTTTTGACCGGGAGTGTATTACTCATTTAACAATAAACGAAATTTGCTTTTACAAATATTTTTTTTAGCTTTAAAACTGCAATTATATAGTCATTAGAAACATACAAAAAACTTATTATATTATTATATTTATAATATGCAAAATGCATTTATCTGCTCTTAACCCATATTTAACTGAAAAGAAAAACCAAACGCTTAGCGTCAGAGAAACAAATCAACCCTGTGAAAATATAAAAAGTACGAAGTAGTAGAGTAGATCAAGCTTGGGAATGTATTTAAAAATGTTCGTAAAGAAGGGGAAGGAACAGGAAATATAGGCTTAATTCAGAACAAGAAGTGAGAGATTGATGAGAAGCAACTGCTGACACAAAACAGGAAAGAAATCTAACATTAATAAAGAAGAGGAAGTACATCTCACAAAGGTTCATCTAAGTGTCATAAGTCTTGTGTATTTTAAATTCTTTACCTTGGTCCAATTGAATTTCCATTATTACATAAATGATAATCCAGAGAGCAATTTTAGAGGTAATATTGACATATGGATCAGAATGCTGCGAAATGACGAAAATAAAAAGAAAGAAATAGGTAGACCTTGTAGAAATGGATATTGTTTGAAGAACATGTGGACTATCTAAATTAGACCTCATTCCAAGTAATTAAATTAGGCGATGCATGAATAGAATCACAAAACAACTGAAAAACTAGAGAACAGACAATTGATATGGTATGGTCACATGAAAGAGCATAGATGATACACTTAAAATAAAATGTTGTCTTACGTTCATATGTGGCATTGACTCGACTGAAGTCAGGTGTAAGTTAACATTAATTTCAGTCCTTAACGGGATGTTTTCTAATAAAAAATCTAAGAAGTCTTCCCAAACTATTCTAGTGCGACTTTTCGCTATATCCTCAAATAAAATATCGCTTTGATGTAAATATTTAGTTTGATCTAAAAAGAAACTATAATTAGTAATAAAAACCAACGAAATAACCTAAAAAATTTTAAATCCAATGTCTTATGTGTGTTTTATAAGCTGTTTTTAAGTAAGAATTTAAAGCAATAGTTTTTATATTAAAATCACAATCAAGATGTACCAGAAATAAACAAACCAAGACAGGTTAAATGTTACAAGCAGCAATCTCAAAAAATTATTTACAATGTATATACATTGTATAAATCCCAAATCATGATTTACATAGTTTATACATTGTAAATCATGATTTGAAAGTGTTCCTCGTAAAATTTCCCCAAGTATCTTGGTCTGTTTATTTCTAGTGCATCTTGATTGTGATTTTAGTATAGAAGAAAACATTTATACCAATCTTGTATTATAATAAATTGGAAAAGATTAAAAAAAAAATAAAAATAAAACAAAAAAAATAAAAGTATTTTGGTAATCAAAAAATATGTCAAACAATATAAAGATAAAATAAATTATTAACAAATAAGTAACTAAATATTGGAAAAATAACTACTGGATGTGAAACTGGAATCTACTAGACATTAAATATAACCACTGAATACAAACTGGATAATATGTGATTTGTAAGTTTACCAAATGTATAAAGGAGAATTTTTTTACCGTATTCATATTGTTGTTAAAATTAATTTTAAGTTTTTGTCTTAAGAATTTAAGAATCAAAGTCAAATATGAATAGGCTAATAAAACCGTATGTTTAGCAGTCAATATCACAACCACGCACACATGTGTGTTGTATTGTCCAAAATACCATGTAAATACTTGCCAAACATTTGACGTATACATTCCGAAAACTCTTCTTTGGTAAGACCGATTTCTTTGCCATCTTTTATATTTTCTTTAAAACTGGTCCTCAGTGAATCTAGTTGGTCGTAGCTAAATTTTTTAATTAGACCATACCACGCAGTGTTTTGGTTTGTTTCATCAAGTGAGTCCAAACTTAAACAAATGGTTTTATTTAATGATAAATATTAGGCAATTAGTGTTTTGCTAAAACCGCAATATGATAAAATAACAACCATTTTTTTAAAATTTTTAACGAAAAAGGCAATTATATAAAAACTTCTAATGTAGTTAGTATATATGTTTTATAAAAACTTGAGATTATAGAAAGATTACTTGCATAACTTAAATCACAAAACAGCGAAGGGGACACAATGGCCCCTACTCGAAACTAAACCCGCATTTGGGTTGCTGGGAAGACACTAGCCAACTAACTGCTGATACAGGAAATGAAATTATATGGTTATTTGGTCTGATAAGACCAAAAACTTTTTGAACTATTTTAATCCGTTCGGATTTTTAAATTTTAATGTATTTTAATAAACATTTATACCAATTAAATTAGAAGTTAATACTTCACTGTAAAATTTTTAACTATTATGTTATACTCTCACCCACTGGAAACTCTCCCATTTTAAACTATTATTCAAGAATATTTTAAAATTTACTGACTCATTCTAAATTCTGATGACTCATTTATCAATTATTATTAATCATATATAAATTATTCTTACCTTAAACTGTGGAGCTCATCAAAAATTTCATTTGTTTCCATTTCTATAAAAGAATTTCAAGTTATCGATTTATTTGTGTTACCAACCAAAAGTGAAGTCATAGTAACAATAATAGAGTTACTGTCGATTAAAAGATTTTGAACATGTATTGATTTCGGACAAATTTATATTAAAAACAATAATAAACCAATTGAAAAAAAAAAATGGAAATCACAAATATATATTAGAATCAGAAAGTCAAAATAAGAATTTAACATCAACTATCAGAAGAGATAGATATTCTGTGAATAAAGAAAAGTCAAAAAAATGAAGTATACGTGGCTGTCAGACACAGAAATGGTTTGCTGTCATCGAAAAAGCGTAATGAGGCCTTTGGTAATGTACGACAGTGTAGTAAGGTCTGTATAGTCTGTAAATTATGTAAAGAAGGTTCAGGAAAAGAAAATGGAGGTAGCTAAAATAAAAATGTTACAGTGTATGTTGGGTAAGACAAAATCAAAAATGAGAATGATAGAGCCAGGATAACTACAGTCTCAAAAAGGGTTTAAGAATTAAGGCTGCAATAGTTTGATCTCATCATGTAGAACTGACAATTGTATGAGATAAAGCATAGAGCTGGTAGAAGTTGAGGGAAGGAGAGGTAGAGGAAAATCGAGAAAAAGATAGAAGAACTGTGTGGCCGAAGACTTAATAGATAAATGCATAAATGAAGATGACACGATGGACGATGGTGAAGAAGAATAGGAAATAGCGACTTCTGACAATGGAAAAGCTGATAACAAAGAAGAAGATAATTGTAAAAAAGCAGTATCCAACTATAGCGCATGAAATAAAAGCGTTTGTTAGAAATTAAAATTAAAATTAAAATTAACATTAGTTAGAAATTAGTGAATAAAGTCTGTTGGCCACTGTCTCTTTAATCCTCATCTGACTTCTGGTTGGAGGTGT